CAATGTCACATAATTTTACAGTTGAAATGTTTAGATGCAGCCGTAAGTTCTATGCTAACAGTTTATTTTCTCGTACTTCTCGATTGTGGAACTCTCTTCAGGCTTCTTTCTTTCCAGTCAACGTTGATCTTCAATAATTTAAATGCAATGACAACTGTTATATATTGTCTGCTTAATTATTGTTGTTTTAACGTTCTCTTCCTTTAAAAGTTTATCTCGTTCTCTAACACTCAGTAACCCCGCTTGTATCTTAGTGGCTTTATTGCCTTGATTGGGGCGAAATTATTTTAAAAACAGGCCAAAATTTAAATATCTAGGACATGTTTTAGCAGAGAGCGGAAAATTCGACATCGAAATCTGACGACTTTAATAGCGAAAAATGCCTTCCAAAAGCCGAGCAAAGTATTAAGAAACAGAGAAAACATTAGAAACAAATAAAAGAGTCTTCTTCTATGTGCCGTGCCCACTCAGAATGTAAGCAGTTATGGCTCTCCACATTTTCCTGTCCATTGTAGCTCTTAATAGACTTTTTTTTTTTTTAAATTCTCGTAAACCCTGTTCCGTTAAATGCAATGTCCATCGCTATCTACTGTCCTTCTGATTAATCTATCCTCTTCCCGCTTATTATTAATGTTAGTGCTTCTAATTCTTTCACGCACTCTAACCCCTTGCGTCTTAGTGGCTTTACTGCCTTGAATGGGGTGATACCGATTTAAAAAAAAAAATTTTTATACATTTTTTATTCTCCCCTCAATAGAAAAAGCAAGAAACCAACTTAATGTACCGTATTATTTATAATCATTTTGTATTAACTTATAAAATTATTTTTATAACATTTTCGGCAAAGTAGTCAATATCAAAAATGAGAGGCAGTAATGCTTTGAATGAAGACTCTCCTTGGTTGTGGTAAATTTCGGAAAATCATGTAACATGATAAAATCTCAAGCCGCGCTAAATAAGTTATTGTAAATATTTCTTATAAGAATTATAACGTTAAATTTCACACACGTTTATGCCAATATTTTTGCGATAATCGATTGTTTAATATCAATTTTATTGTTAAAACATTGCTATACATAAAATCTAAAATGGCGTATGCGAGGAGAAATTAGCGTTACAGTTATAGTTAAAACCTTATTCTTGCACGCTATTGACTGCTCTGTTATGTGGGATTACGTCACACTAGGCTAAGCGGTGTAAACATTGGCGCTCATTATTAATTCCTTACTAGCTGATCATATATAACCCGTGATAGGTCAGGGAGGATTGAGTAAAGAAATACATCAAAAACTTGATTCATTTGAATAGTTCCATATATATATATATTGTTGAAACTTGAATAAAGCATGGAATAATAATAATACAACACAAAATGTACTTAAACAAAATCTATTGATACAAGAACGTGTACACAATATTTACAGATAGTTTGGTATATTCTTGGGAAGACCGTTCCTGTAGAATGGGTTGACTTAGTCGCAGTCGGGCAGAGTCTCTGGATTGGATCTCTTCTTCCTCCCCCGTCTTCCCGGTACCCACCCATATTTATATGGTCGGTACTCCACTATGTAAATTAGGTGGATCGTACCACAACATATATATATATATATATATATATATATATATATATATATATTATTGTCAAAAACAAATTTGGCAGTTGGGAAAAATAGAAACAGTCGTTATGATAGTATTTTGACATCCAAATGGAAACTCTGCATGACTTGACACATAAACAGATTATATTAATCGAAACACAAGCACACACACACACACACAAACACACACACACACACACACACACACACACACACACACGCGCGTGTGTATGTGTGTGTAAGGGCCATATACAAGGGAGAAGTATAAAGACATGAAATAAAGACGATATATGGAGGAAGTCGATTGCAGACAACACCATTTTGCTTCTCAAATTTCCTTCCCTTTTTTTCCTATCTGTCAGTTAAAATCTTTTTCAGTCTTTTCATATTTATGTATTTAAATCAGTTAATTTTTATATCAGTTTTATTAAACCAGGTTACATCTATCTATCTATCTATCTATCTATCTATCTATCTATCTATCTATCTCAGTCTATTGATATCTATATATCTATTTGTGTATGTATATATATGTCAGTTCGAATATATATCTATCTTTCTCTCTATATATATATATCAGTTCGAATCAATCAAAAGAATCAATATATATATATATATATATATATATATATATATATATATATATATATATATATATATATATATATATATATATATATATATAAAATTGAATCTATCTTTATACATGTCAGTTCGAATCAATCAATCAATCTATCTATCTATCTATCTATCTATCTATCTATCTATCTATCTCAGTCTATTCATATCTATGTATCTATTTGTGTATGTATATATATGTCAGTTCGAATATATATCTATCTTTCTCTCTCATTATATATATCAGTTCGAATCAATCAAAGAATCAATATATATATATATATATATATATATACATATATATATATATATATATATATATATATATATAAATTGAGTCTATCTTTATACATGTCAGTTCGAATCTATCTATCTATCTATCTATCTATCTATCTATCTATCTATCTATCTATGTCAGTCTCTTCATATCTATTTATGTATGTATCTATCTATATTATATCTCAGTTCGAATAGCTTTCTCTCTCTTTATATATATATATATATATATATATATATATATATATATATATAAATATATCAGTTATCTATCCATATATCTATTTATATATATATGTCAGTTCGAATCTATCTGTCTCTATACATGTTAGTTTGAATCAATCAATCAATCAATCAATCTATCTATCTATCTATCTATCTATCTATCTATCTATCTATCTATCTATCTGTGTATATCTATATATCTGTACACACACACACACACACACATATATATATACAGGTCTTTTTGTATGTATCTATATGTATCAGTTCAAATAGATCTGTCTATTTATATATGTCAGTTCGATTATATCTATCTATCTATCTATCTATCTATCTATCTATCTATTTTCCGCAGTACGGTTCAACTGTGGAGAACGTCGTGATGTGTGTCCATTGCCATTTTCGTATGACCAAAGTCGGTTGGCTATAAACGGAAGAAGAAATATTTTTAAATATAGTGTCGTTTGGCGAATGCAAATATTTGCTTAAAGGGATAATCTCCGCATTATGCAAATGTTCTTGCTATTCAGTTGCAACCGGAGAGACAGATGGTCGGTGACAGGATACGAGACAGTAGATGTAGAAGGAGCGAACGAAGAGAAGGAAAGAATAAAGAAAGAAGAAATAAAGAAATAAAGAAAGAAAGAAGAAAAACAAATGAAGACACCGAGGAGGAATGTGAGGAAGAAAGAAAGACAGAAAAAAGAAAGAAAGAAGGAAAGAAAGAAAGAAAGAGAGAAAGAAAGAAAAGTAAGAAAGAAAGAAAAACGAGTAAGAAAAACGTGAAGAGGAAAGTGTGAATGAAATGAAGACAGAAAGACAAACAATAAGAAGGAAGAAAGGGAGAGAGTAAGACACCGAGGAGGAATGCGAGGAAGAAAGAAAGAAAGAAAAGAAGAAAGAAAAAAAAAGAAAGAAAGAAAGAAAGAAGGAAACGTGAGAAAGAAAAAAGTGAGGAAGAAGTAAAGTGAAGAGGAAAGTGTGAATGAAATGGAGACAAAAAGAAAAACAATAAGAAGGAAGAAAGAAAGAAATGGACAGAGTAAGACACCGAGGAAGAATGTGAGGAAAAAAGAGAGAAAGAAAGAAAAGTAAATGAAAAGGAAGAAAGAAATAAAAAGAAGGAAAGAATGAAGAAAGATAAATAAAGAACGAAAAACGAAAAAAAAAAAAGAAAAATAAAGAAAGTAAATAAAAAAGAAATAAAGAAAGTTAAAAGAAAAATGAAGAAAGAAAACGAAAGAAAAAAAAGAAAGGAAGAAAAAATAAATAAAGAAAAATAAAGAAAAAAGATGAAATGAAACAATAAATTGAAAAAAAATGACAGTAAAACACAAAGAGAATTCTAATCCTTCTTCTGTGTGCCTTCTTCAGGACGTTAGCGATCATGGCTCTCCACAATTACCTGTCTTTTGTAGCTCTTGATAACTTTGTCATCACTCCCATACTCTGCTCTGCCATCCATTTTCTCATTCTCGCCTGATAGGTTGTGCGTTGCTTTCCTCTGTCTCGCTTCCCTTCAATCTGCCCTTGAGTATCAAATTTTCTGAGCCTTCTTTCCTCATTATCAAATTCAACTGTCTCTTCCTGATGTTAAGTAGAAGTGTCCTTTTTCTTTAGAACTTCCTACTTCTTCACATGTTCCGTCCATGTTATTGTTAGCATGCTTCTGTAAAACCACATTTCTGTTGCTTCAAGTCTCTTCTTCATCTGTGACGAGATTCTCCACATTCACCGCCATATAAGAGAGTTGATATTCAAAAAAAAAAAAAAAAAAGAAGCGAAAATACAAAAGCGTAGAAGGAAAACAAAAGAAAGGCGAGAGAAGACTGAAGGAGAAAGAAAAGAAAGATAATGATTAAAACAAGCAAAATCTCTTACGAAACTAACAGAGAAAAAGAAATGAAAGAGAAAAAGCAAGACAATTAATTAATGGATTAATGACAAAATGGCGCGAAAATAGAAATATCGAAACAGAAAGAAAAAGACAAAAAAAAACGAGCACAACAGAAGATGAAACATGGAGAAAATAGAAGAAAATAATGAAAGAATGGGAAAAAAGACGTAACAGAGAGGAAGAAAAAAAAAGAAATGGACAGAATAAGACAATGAGAAAGTAAGAAAGTGAGAAAGAAAGAGTGAAAGGACGGAAGAAAGAAAGAAAGAAAGAAATGAAAAAACGAGAACAACAAAGGAGTTAACATTGGAGTAAATGAAAGAAGAAAATAGTGATAGAACGGAAAAAAAGACGCAACAGAGAGAACGAAAAACAAAATGGACAGATTAAGAAGATGAGAGAAGAAAGTGAGAAAGAAAGAGTGAAAAGATAGAAGAAAGAAAAAAGACGGCAAAAGTGAGGAAGAAAGTATGAAAGACGGAAGAAAGAAAGAAAGAAAGAAAAGAAAAGAAAGAAAGAAAGAAAAGAAAAGAAAAGAAAAGAAAGATATAAAAAGAAAGAAAAGATGCAAGAAAGGAAGAAATTGACAGTGTGAGACACTGAAGAAGAAAGAGAGAAAGAACGAACGAAAGAAAATATGAAAGAAATGAAGAAAGAAAGAAAGAAAGAAATGAAAAAACGAGAACAACAAAGGAGTTAATATTGGAGTAAATGAAAGAAGAAAATAGTGATAGAACGGAAAAAAAGACGCAACAGAGAGAACGAAAAACAAAATGGACAGATTAAGAAGATGAGAGAAGAAAGTGAGAAAGAAAGAGTGAAAAGATAGAAGAAAGAAAAAAGACGGCAAAAGTGAGGAAGAAAGTATGAAAGACGGAAGAAAGAAAAGGAAAGAAAGAAAGAAAGAAAAGAAAAGAAAGAAAGAAAAAAAAAAAGAAAAGAAAAGAAAGATATAAAAAGAAAGAAAAAGATGCAAGAAAAGGAAGAAATTGACAGTGTGAGACACCGAAGAAGAAAGAGAGAAAAGAACGAACGAAAAGAAAATATGAAAGGAATGAAGAAAGAAAGAAAGAAAGAAATGAAAAACGAGAACAACAAAGGAGTTAATATTGGCAAAAATGAAAGAAGAAAATAGTGATAGAACAGGAAAAAAAAAGACGCAACAGAGAGAACGAAAAACAAAATGGACAGATTAAGAAGATGAGAGAAGAAAGTGAGAAAGAAAGAGTGAAAAGATAGAAGAAAGAAAAAAGACGGCAAAAGTGAGGAAGAAAGTATGAAAAGACGGAAGAAAGAAAAGAAAGAAAGAAAGAAAAGAAAAGAAAGAAAGAAAAGAAAAGAAAAGAAAAGAAAAGAAAGATATAAAAGAAAGAAAAAGATGCAAGAAAGGGAAGAAATTGACAGTGTGAGACACCGAAGAAGAAAGAGAGAAAGAACGAACGAAAGAAAATATGAAAGAAATGAAGAAAGAAAGAAAGAAATGAAAAAACGAGAACAACAGAGGAGTTAACATTGGAGTAAATGAAAGAAGAAAATAGTGATAGAACGGGAAAAAAGACGCAACAGAGAGAACGAAAAACAAAATGGACAGATTAAGAAGATGAGAGAAGAAAGTGAGAAAGAAAGAGTGAAAAGATAGAAGAAAGAAAAAAGACGGCAAAAGTGAGGAAGAAAGTATGAAAGACGGAAGAAAGAAAGAAAGAAAGAAAGAAAGAAAAGAAAAGAAAGAAAGAAAGAAAAGAAAAGAAAAGAAAAGAAAGATATAAAAAGAAAGAAAAGATGCAAGAAAGGAAGAAATTGACAGTGTGAGACACTGAAGAAGAAAGAGAGAAAGAACGAACGAAAGAAAATATGAAAAAAATGAAGAAAGAAAGAAAGAAAGAAATGAAAAAAACAGAGAACAACAAAGAGTTAATATTGAGTAAATGAAAGAAGAAAATAGTGATAGAACGGAAAAAAGACGCAACAGAGAGAACGAAAAACAAAATGGACAGATTAAGAAGATGAGAGAAGAAAGTGAGAAAGAAAAGTGAAAAAGATAGAAGAAAGAAAAAAAAAGACGGCAAAAAGTGAGGAAGAAAGTATGAAAGACGGAAGAAGAAAGAAAGAAAGAAAGAAAGAAAAGAAAAGAAAAGAAAAGAAAGAAAAGAAAAGAAAAGAAAAGAAAGATATAAAAAGAAAGAAAAGATGCAAGAAAGGAAGAAATTGACAGTGTGAGACACTGAAGAAGAAAGAGAGAAAGAACGAACGAAAGAAAATATGAAAGAAATGAAGAAAGAAAGAAAGAAAGAAATGAAAAAACGAGAACAACAAAGGAGTTAATATTGGAGTAAATGAAAGAAGAAAATAGTGATAGAACGGAAAAAAGACGCAACAGAGAGAACGAAAAACAAAATGGACAGATTAAGAAATAGAACGTACGTAAATATAAAAGTGTATATGGGGGAGGGTCAACACCTCGCTGCAATAGTTTGTTTCATGTTTAAACGTAATCTTAAGGCCTGACGATTGTGTTTAAGCATGTAACAGACTGCCGCCGCTGGATGTTGACTTTAATGGCCATGTTTACACACACACACACATATATAATATATGTGTGTGTGTGTCTGTGTAAAGTGTTTTTTAATACATATTGTTTCATGCTTAGAGATTTTTAAAAATGGTTGACTGTTTATTTAACAATGTAAATCTGTAAATAAATGCCGTAGAAATAAATTGCAGAGAGAAAAGTCGATTATGTCAGGCGAAACTGACGACAAATGCGAGCTCAAGAGACGATAGATTTGCATCGGGAAACCTAGGAAACAACTTAAGGAAAATATGTGGAGGTCTCTCACATCATACCAGCAGAGATAGCCTCGTGTTCACAGGTATAAAAAATATATACAGCATTAACACTAAGGGCATGTCAAATTCTAAATTAAACTCATACAATTTTATTCATTTTTGTGTTATGTTGTAAAGTGCATTTTAGTTACAAGTGTTTAAAGGTTGCAAGTGATAAAAGGAAGAATTCACTTCGTATTATAACAAGCAATGTGCTGAGTAGAGGAGATGGACGTCTTGACCTTCCAACGATCGAAAAAAGTTTCTGTTGCATTCTGGGAGAACTTTTAATATTTTAGATTTATTTATTTTAAACAAATGTTATTTGTTTTATTTTATTTTATTTATGATATCCATTACTATTATTATTTTATATTTGTATTTTTTAATAATAATAATAATGTCCCTACAAGTACGCAAATCATTTGTTTTCATTGAAATACGAAAGCTATAAGTACAGCTCTATATTTTCTACTATATATATATGAAAATTAAGAATAAAAATTAAAATCATTTGAAAGAATGGAATATAATAAAAAAGATCAAGAGAAACACTGGGAGAAATTACTATCTATGTATGTAGGAAAAAATAAAATTATAGAATATAAAAATATGAATAATTTAATAAATAAAAGGAATGAAACGCATTTCTCATGAAAACGTAAAAATAATAGATATCGGGAATACTATTAAAAAAAACTATCATCCATTTTGAAAAATCGCTAAGTGGGAAACAGCGCTGTTAATGGGTTAATAAAATGAAATATTCTTTCTTTCTTTTTTTTCTTTTTATCTATCTATATTATGTTTCGATCTGTTTATATTTTCTCCCGTCTATCTATCTATCTGTTCGTATCTATCTATCTATCTATCTATCTATCTATCTATCTATCTATCTATCTATCTATCTCAGTCTTTCGTATCTATCTGTTCATCTATCTATCTCAGTCTTTTCGTATTCTATTCATTCATCTATCTATCTATCTATCTATCTATCTATCTATCTATCTCAGTCTTTTCGGATCTATCTATCTATCTATCTATCTATCTATCTATCTATCTATCTATCTCAGTCTTTTCGTATCTATCTATGTATCTATCTATCTATCTATCTATTTATCTATCTATCTATGCATTTAGTCTGTCTCCCCACTAAGACGAGTTGTGACACAAGGTCATTTTTAAGGTAGGGACTCGAGTGCGTAGTACCGAGCAAGGAAGAAAAATTGCCTGCATCCACCGCAACCGTCGATTGCGCTGGCCTCGGTGCGAGCACCTATCCCTCTCTCTGGTGCAATGAGGGGGCGCGGTCTCGGGCAGCTTATCCCCAGGCTGCGTACCTCTCAGTATAATTTTACATCTATCTATCTATCTATCTATCTATCTATCTATCTATCTATCTATCTATCTATCTATCAGCCTGTTCATATCTATCTATCTATCTATCTATCTATCTATCTATCTATCTATCTATCTATCTCAGCGTGTTGATATCTATCTATCTATCTATCTATCTATCTATCTATCTATCTATCAGCCTGTTCATATCTATCTATCTATCGATCTATCTATCTATCTATCAGCGTGTTGATATCTATCTATCTATCTATCTATCGATCTATCTATCTATCTATCTATCAGCGTGTTGATATCTATCTATCTATCTATCTATCTATCTATCTATCTATCAGCCTGTTCATATCTATCTATCTATCTATCTGTAAGTGAATGACAAAATTGAAAAAAAAACTATTTATCTAGGCTTACGACAACATCACGTAGAAACACCGGTTTCTGTACGATTACCGAAGCTAAGCAACGTCGATCCTGGCCAGTAGCTAGATGGGTAACCGCTTGAGAATATCAGATGCTGTAAGCTTGTATGTGCGGGTGGTGTAATGGATAATGGCTCAGAATTGTTAATCGGAGAAATGTGTTCCGATTCCAGTCGGGTTCGTTATATTCACTTACGTGCAAATAGTCTTGGGAAAAATATGAATCTACCTTTTTTCTCCCCCAGCTATGGGTTAATTAGTAAGACTTGTCACTGAAACCATTATTATCTATAAAAAATACAATCTAAAAATATTTCCTGCCTTTAATTAACCAACAAAAGGTAGATAAGCCGTAAAACCTCGAATGAATCAATAGCTATCGATTGAGTAACTCATTTCACAGACAGTTTAGCTAGCACATTCTGAAATGAGGTATAGGGTTGAGAAACGGCACATTGAACCTAGCACGATTAAAAAAGATACTACACAGGTCTTAGGTAGAAATGCTGATCCATATGTAAATAAACGCATCATTTTTGACAGGTATTATGATATTTCAGTGTATAATTCGCAAAATGATATTGTTTTTACGCATAAACCTACAACTACTTACACACAAATGTGTCCCAGAAGGTTTAGCCTGTTTCTAATTAATTCAGTGTAATATTCAATTATTATTTCCCCATCATGATCGAAGAGAATGAAGAGGGAGAAGGCAAACATAATGAAAGGGGAAATTATTAACAGCAGACATCAGGGAATACCCTGTATTACGAGAGAAAAATCAATAATGGAAGTGCTTTCTATTTCTAAGAGGGTGCGAATCGAAAATGATATTTATTGTCAGTAAATTTTTAGAAGCAATATCACTCTCTGTATTTAAACGAATATCTTGATCTTTATTATTTAAATCGTATCAATTCGATCGATTTCTTTTTTTTTCAAAGAGTTGTTTTATTTGTCAGATCCGAGAGCTGAATTTTTGGTGCTGAAATTAAAATAAAATAATCTACAGATATCCGGACCATCCGGAAATTCGGTGTTTTCTGAAATTTTAAAATCTGGGCTTTTGCGTTTGTGTGCGCATGCGTGATGCAAAGTGGGAAAGAGATACGATGTGGTCACCATTTAAAGCGGTTAATTTGTAGGGGAGTTATAACAATGAGCAAATAATTATAAACTCCTATAATTATAAACTCCATTTGTATCAACAAGATACTCGCAAAAAACGTGAAACAGCCAGACGTGGAAACAACAAAGCAAATATTATTTATTATCTGATTGTTATGTGATGTTGGGGACACGAGAGGCAGTAATACTTAGTGAAATCGTGAGTTTGGAATCAAATATAGATCAAATATGGATCGGAATCTGAAAGAATGATAAGATAAAGATTAAGTAAAGTGTATAGCGTCCTTCTCGTATGTCTTTTTCTATAGATGTGTATAAGTTATTGACATTTGGGAAAAGGTTCTTGAAGGTATGTTTCGAAAATAATATCCGATAATGCATTTCGCCTATATGGCTTCATCAGATGGATAATTTGTAGGGGAGTTATAACACTGAGCAAATAATTATAAACCCCTAACAAAATACTCGTAAAAAACGTGGAAAACATCAAAATGAGTGTTATTTATTATCTGGTTGTTATGTGGTGTTGGAGGCACGAGAGACAGTAATACTGAATAAATTGTGAGTTTGGGACTAAATATAGATCAAATATGGATCATAATCTGACAAAATGATAAGATAAAGAATAAGTAAATGGTTTACAGGTTTTTCTCGTATGTAATGAATCTCCTGATAATTTAGTTGGAAAATACAAGAAATATCTGGGTTTTTCTTACCTTGACATTTTATTGAGTGCTAAGTGATAAATGTTACTATTATGGCATGAAAAAAAAAAAAAAACGAGACGAAATTTTCGTTGATGCACGTGTTGAAACCCTGTCCGTGTTGACTGCTTGTCCAGTAATGAGACTGTTACGAGTTTGTGTGTGTAGAAGAGAAAAGTTGCATCGATTCTCATTGGTTTAGAAAGAGTGAATTAATGATAATTATAATTGTTATAATTATTTTTGACACTATAAATAATTTTTATGTATTTCTTTATGGAGACGACAACAGGAAGCTGAGAAGAACCCTATTTCACCACGATCTTCCGTACTACATACCATGTGAGTCTTCTTTTACATTTATATATACAAACACACACGTAAAATGAGAAACAGCAAGACATGGAAAAAAACAAGTATTATTTATTATTTGGTTGTTATGTGGTGTTGGAGACACAAGAGACAGTAATACTTAGTGAAATCGTAAGTTTGGAATCAAATATAGATCAAATATGGATCGGAATCCAACAGAATGATAAGGTAAAGATTAAGTAAAGTGTATATCGTCCTTCTCGTATGTCTTTTTCTATAGATGTGTATAAGTTATTGACATTTGGGAAAACGTTCATGAAGGTATGTTTCGAAAATAACATCCGATAATGCATTTCGCCTATATGGCTTCATCAGATGGATAACGAAAAATGTGTTGTGTCTATATGCGTTTGTGTGTGTTTAAAATAATTAAATCTTATATTATTTTTCCCATGCTGGCGCTGCATGAGACTAAGATGCATACACACTCGGTCTTTCAACGTGATGTGTCCGTAAGCCTATTTCGCTTTTAAAAACAATAAACATTGCCGAGGGAGTCAAACGTGTATACAGTAATAGCAATGTCAAGGGAATAACTATCCTTTTGACACGAGAAGGGACAAACTCAACACCGCCGACTGAGCGTCAGGACAACTCAGGTCCGAGGCAACTCAGCACCAGAAAAGCATAAAAATAATTCAATAAAACACACTTGTTTTTTAAGTAAATCATAAGGTAATTTATTTTTTAATAAAGTAAATCGAAATTCTTATTTTTTATATGCCAATTTACTTTATTAAAAAAATAAATTTCTTTACGATTATTTTATTCAAAATAATTAAAAACAAAAAAGACTGGTTCATATGTTACATAATGCCTTTTCAAATGTCTTATTTGAAGAAAAATATTAAACTAATTAAAGTTTTAATCCTTAATAAATTACGTTTATTCGGTTATAAAAGAGTTATATTTTTTTCTGGTGCTGAGCTGTCTCAGTCCTGAGTTGTCCCGGCGCTCAGTCGGCGGTGTTCAGTCGATGGT